CCATGTTTTTCTAAAATGAGCCAGCTCATAATTTCTTACAGTACAGTATTACTCCATTACAGCTATACACCATGACTTGTTTAGCCATTACCCAATTAATGGACAGTCCTTCAACTTCTAGTTCTCTACCACCACAAAGAGAGCTGCTATAAATATTTTAGGACATATAAGGTCCTTTCCTCTGTCCCTGATTACCTTGGGAAACAGACCTTATTTAGGTCTTAGTGCTCTTGTTGGGTGAAAGGGTACGTATACACACAGTTGTATAGCTCTTTGGGTATAATTCCACGTTGCTCTACAAGATAGTGGGATCAGTTCACAGTTCCATCAGCAGTGAGTTAGTGTCCCAGTTCTTCCACATTCCCTCCAACATTTGTCACTTTCTCCTTCTGTCATTTTAGCCAATCTGGTAAGGTATAAGATGTATAAGATTAAAATAAAGTTGTTATAATTTGCGTTTCTCTAATTGGTAATGATTTAGAACATTTTTTCATATTAATATAGTTTTGATTTCTACATTGGGAAACTGCCTGCTCATATCCTTTGACCATCTATCAATTGGGGAATGACTTGTATTCTTATAAATTTGACAAAGTTCTTTATATATATGAGACATAAGACCTTTATCTCAGAAACTGTCTATAAAAATTTTCCCCAATTTCTGCTTTCCTTCTGATTGTGGCTATGTTGGTTTTATTTGTACATGCCTTTTAAAATTTAATGTAATGGAAATTATCCATTTTACACCTCACAATGCTCTTTATCTCTTGTGTATTAATATATTATTCTGTCCATAAGTCTGATAGGTATTATGTTCCATGTTCTTCTAATTTTCTTGTGATATCAACCTTTATATCTAGGTCATGTGTCCATTTTGACCATATCTTGGTACATGGTGTAAGATATTAGTCTATGCCCAATTTCTGCCAGACTACTTTTTACCAAATAATGAATTCTGATCCCAAAAGCTTTATATTTGTCAAAAACAAAGTTACTGTAATAATTTGTTACTGTGTTATTATATGTCTTCTCTCTTTCACTGATCTACCTTTCTGTTTCTTAGCCAGTACCAGGTAGTTTTGATAATTACTGCCTTTTAATATAGTTTATAATCTAGTACTGCTAAACCTCCTTCCTTTACATTTTTTATTAATTAATTTCTTTGATATTCTTGACCTTTTGTTCTTCCAAAAGAATTTTATTTTTATTTTTTTTTGGTAATTGAATTGGGTTGGCATTGAATAAATAAATTAGTTTAGGTAAAATTATCATTTTTGTTATGTTGGCTCTGCCCATGAACAACAATCGATATTTCTCCAGTTATTTAAATCTGACTTTATTTGTATAAAAATGTTTTTAGTTATGTTTATATAGTTAGTTCCTGGATTTGTTTTGGTAGGTATATTCCCAGGTGTTTTATACTATCTACAGTTGTTTTAAATGGAGTATCTCTTACTATCTCTTCTTCCAGAGTTTTATTGGTGATATATAGAAATGCTGATGATTTATGTGGGTCTATTTTATATCCTGCTACTTTACTAAAATTATTATTTCCACTAATTTTAGTTGAATCTTTAAAATTTTCCAATTATATCATCATATCGCCTTCAAAAAGAGAGAGTTTTATCACTTAATTGCTGACTGTGATTCCTTCAGTTTCCTTTTCTTCTCTTATTGCTATTGTTAGCATTTCTAATACAATGTTGAATGATATTGGTGATAATGGACATCTTTGTTTCACCCTGGTCTTATTGGGAAGGCTTCTAGTTTATTCCCATTACAATTAATGTTTGTTAATGGTTTGAGGTAGGTGCTTCTTGTCATTTTAAGGCAAAATCCAGTTATGCTTATACTTTCAAGTGTTTTTTAATAGAAATGAGTGCTGTAATTTATCAAAAGCTTTTTCTGCATCTATTGATATAATCATATGATTTTTATTACTTTTGTTATTGATATACTTGATTATGTTAATAGTTTTCCTTATGTTAAACCATCCCCGAATTCTTGGTATACATTCCACTTGGTCACAGTGTATAATTTTTGTAATATATTGTTGTCGCCCTAACTAGGATTTTATTTAGGATTTTTGCATCTATATTTGCTAATTAAATTGGTCTATATTTTTCCCCTCTATTTTGGCTCTTCCTGGTTGAGGTATTAATGCTATTTTGGTTTCATAAAAGGAGTTTGGTAGGACTCTTTTGCCTATTATTCTAAATAATTTATTTAATATTGGAATTAGTTGATCTTTAAATGTTTGTTAGAATTCACTCGTAAATCCATCTGGTCCTGATGCTTTTTTTCTTAGAAAGTTCAATTATGGCCTGTTCAATTTCTTTTTCTAAAATAGATTCATTTAGATATTCTATTTCGTTTTCTGTTGATCTAGGCAATTTATATTTTTGTAAACATTTTTCTATTTCATTTTAATTGTTAAATTTATTGGCATATACTTGGACAAAATAACTCCTAATGGTTGCTTTGATTTCATCTTCATTAGTGATATAGTCACCCTTTTCATTTTTAATACTAGTGATTTGGTTTTCTTTCATCTTTTTAAAAAAATCATATTAACCAGTGATTTATCTATTTTATTGTTAATTCGGTGATTTTCTTACACTCAGTTTTATTAATCTCACTTTTAAGTTAGGATTTCCAGTTTGGTATTTAATTGGGGATTTTTAATTTGTCCTTTCTCTAGTTTTTTAAATTACATACCCAATTCATTGGTCTATTCTTTCTCTATTTTATTGATGTAAGCATTCAGAGTTATAAATTTTCCTCTCTTTACTGCTTTTGCTGCATCCCATAGGTTTTGGTATGTTGTCTTATTATTGTTATTCTTTTTGATGAAATTATTGATTGTTTCTATGATTAGTTTTTTAACCCACTCATTCTTTAAGATTAGGTTATTTAGTCTCCAATTAATTTTCCATGGTCTCTTAATTGAATATAATTTTTATTGTTTTGTGACCTGGAAAGGATACATTTAATATTCCTTTTCTGCATTTAACTATTAGGTTTTTATGTCCTACTGTGTATTCAGTTTTTTTTAAAGCTACCATGTACCATTTAGGAAAAGGTATATTGCTTTCTATTCACATTCAGTTTTCTCTAGATATCTATCATATCTAGCTTATGTAAGATTGTATTCACCCCCTTGACTTCTTACTTATTTTTTTGTTAGATTTATCTAATTCTGAGAGGGGGAAGTAAATGCCCCCCCACTATTATGATGTTGCTGTTTATTTCTACCTGTAATTCATCTAAGTTTTCCTTTAAAAATTTTGATATTATACCATTTGGTACATATAGGTTTAGTGCTGATATTGCTTTTTTGATTCCTTTTTTCATAATGTAGTTTCCCTGTTTATCTCTTTTAACTAAATCTATTTTAGCTTTAACTTAGTCTGAGATCGTGATTGCTACCCTGGCTTTTTTTTTTGCATCAGCTTTATATATACCTTTGTTTTTTATTTATTAATTATAATAATAATTATTAACTCTTTGTATATCTCTCATTTTAAAACGTGTTTCTTGTAAACAACATAGTGTTGGATCCTGATTTTTAATCCATTCCGCTGTTTCCATTTTATGGGTAAATTCATCCCAATCACTTTCAAAGTTATAATTACTAGCTGTCTATTTCCCTCCATCCTATTTTTCCTCACTATTATCCTTCTCATCCTCTCTTTTTACCCTATCCCTCCTCACAAGTCTGATTTGCTTCTACCACTACTTCCCTAATCCGTACCCTTTTAAAAAATCCCTCCCTTATTCCCCCCCCTTCTAAAAGTCCTTCCCTTATCCTCTGCCCTCATTTTCCCAGTTCTTTATAGATTTAGAAGACTTTTACTGTAACTCTTCTAGATGTATATGTTATTCCCTCTTTAACCTAAGTCTGTGGGAGAATTTAGGTGAGCTGGATAATTACTGTCTTCTGATTGTATTATTTTGTAATCTGTATCTCTCCATCTTCTCTCTAAGAATAGTATGAAATAGTATTTGGGACAAGTTTTGATAAAATCTAGGTTAACTATATGCACAGCCTTCATCTCATATATTAGTTTAATAATTCTGTCAAAAATGATTTTTTTTTCTCATGTGGGTTCTAGATATAGATACGATGTATGTCTTGGTAGGTAAAATGCCCAAATATTAGGTAAATTTGACTATTACTGTATATGATATTTTTCTTTCTATAAATTTCTCAGTTCTTTTAGTTGCAAAGGGAGCTCTGTCTACCAACATAGAAGCACTGTGTTCTACTGCATATAGTGCTAGACTTGGGAGTCAGACCAAGACTTGGGTTCAAATCCTCCCATTGACACTAATTTTGTGAGCAGTTCATTTATCCTCAGTATGTTTCAAGCCACCTTTCCATAATTTTTTATTTATTAAGTAATAGATGAGCTGTGGTCTGCATTGGTGGAGAGAATTCTTACCCTGGGAGGTCCCACAAACTTGACTTTCTGTTTTGCATGACATTTGTAGGGAATCGGTAGAACATTTTAAAACTTAAATATTTTAAATTAGCTTCTCTTTATTCATTTGACGCTAGAGGAAATGTGGGTTTTGGGGGCATAAATATGAAAAAGATTTTCTGCTCCAAATATGTAAAGGCTAATAGGAGTAGAAGGAATTCCTTAGGAGGGCAGTCTGGGGAAGCTAGAAAGCTTTCCAGTTCCACTAACTTATGAGTTCCTTATTTTGTTTAAAATATTCTAAATTTCTACAATATCAAAGTCAGTCATATTCAAAGGCAAATTTAAAACACATTTATTTCAAAGAGGAGTATTTTAATTGACCTTTTCAGTAGCACAGATAACTTGACTGTAGGTAGTTCTCAAGTTGTACAGAATCTCAGTAGTATAAACTGTAACCATAATTGTTCTTAGAAAATTTTGTTCTTGCCATAAAAACATTTTCTTGTTTTTTGTTTGTGTATTGCATGATTTTCAGTCAGAAAAAAAAATTCATGTAACTTTTCTGTGTTTCAGAAATTTTTTTCCAAAAAGGACAAAGGAATTGAAATCTGCTGTCCATAGTGCTCCTGGCTGGAAGTTATTTGGTAAAGTCCCACCCAGAGAGAATCTGCAGAAGGCTTCTAAAATTATCCAACAGGTAAGACTTGACATAGCCATGTGGTTTGTCCCAACTTAACAAAAGATATGCCTTTAGATATACTGTAACAGTGCTCTTACTTTTATATTATCCTTCTCAACTCAGTTTCAGGTCTATGTAATTATTTATATGAACGTTAATACTTAAAGAATAGGAATATTGGGGAAGCTAGGTGGTGCAGTGGATAGAGCACTGTCCCTGAAGTCAGGAGGACCTGAGTTCAAATGACCTCAGACCAATCACTTGACATTTACTAGCTGTGTGATCCTGGGCAAGTCACTTAACCCCAATTGCCTTAAAAAAAAATTATGAATATTTTTTCCTTTCTAAAATTTTGGCACCTTAATTGGAAGAGCCAGGATTTGTACTCCACATTGATTTTTGTTTTTTCTGCTCATCTGTATCTGGTTTCTCATTAAGCCTAGCCTCAGGAATGAGGTCCTTAAAGTATTAGTATATATGTATGTATGTGTATATATGTATATATGTATCTATCTATTAAAAAATCAAGTTGACCTTTTGTTGAAATATTAATACCTGCCAGAGTATCCATATCAGCATTTTAGAACAAAGAAGGGCCACCAGGTTTGCCATAAAATGCTTTAGATTCTGGCAAACAAAAAAAATCTTCATCTAATTGAAAGTCCAGTTTGGTTGTTTTGCTAGTTGCATCAGGTAGAAAGGGGGCACTTTTTGTTCTTTCTTTGGTCCTGGGCACTGGATCAGAGTAGCCTCTCTGTTTTCTATTCCTCCTGTGCTATTCAAAGGGATAGCAAAATGCTTGGGCCAAAGGCTACTGATTTGCTTGCATAGCTAGTGAATCAGAGGACCTTGACTGATCTTAGATTCTAAGGTATACTTTTCCTTCCTTCCCTCTTAACAACAAAGTTCTGGCAAAAATCAAGAGAAAGGATGGCCAACTTATTCTGATAATCCTAAGCAGATTGTTCCCTTCAGTCTTATTTGATTTTTTATTTTTAGCAGTAGAAGGCTCCTTGCACCAAAATCCTTACCTTACTACCCATCATTAAAGTCCTATCCTTCACCTAGACATCGGACTTAACCCAGACTTCTACCTTTTTGTTTTATCTCTAAAACTTGTAGAAATAGTTATGTTATAATCTTCCTAAATATCAAAAGTAATTCTGCATACCCCTACTAACCACTCTTCATGCAACCTACATTCCTGTCTAACTGGATTGTTGGCTGTTCCTCAAGTTCAGCATACTCTTTCCTGCCCCCTTAGAATGCACTCTCATTCATATCTCTACCTTTGAGAAATCTCTTTCCTTTGAGAATTTGCTCCAGTGCTATTTCCTCCGTGGAGCTTTCCATGATCTTGGCCAATTAAGTATTCTTTTCCTCAAATTTTTAAAAAGCTTTTTGACTGGGTCTTCCTTTTGCCTCATCGTATTCCATCTTGAGTTACATTTTCTGTTTACATGATGCCAGTGGAAGATCAATTGCTAGAGTCTAGGGGCTATGAAGTTTTAAAATGTTTGAATCCCCAGTGCCTTAATAAATGTTTATTGACATCTATTAGTCCAGTATATACTTTTCTTAAAAAAAAATTTATTTTTCTTGACAGATACCAACAAACATGAACATGTTACCCATTCAAAGAAGAACAGAAAAGGGTACTGCATATTAAGCTGTAAAACTCCAGTTTTAGTTTGGTTGGGGTTTGTTTTGTTTATTTTTTGGTATATGTCAGATATAATATGGTAGATCCAACATGGCCTCTGCCACATTTTGAGCTTCTGTTCTTTTCTCCATAGAAATTTTTTTTCAGTGATTCATCAGTAATATCCTTTTTCAAAAAAATTATTGACTACCACTGCCCTTTAGTCTTTCCCCAGATTTTCTTCCCACCAAGAGAAATAAAAGCCCTTTTTATAATAAATAAGCGTAATAATGCAGAACAAATCTATATGCTGACATCATCTGAAAAAGTAAATATCATCTGGTTTCAGAAAAACCTGGAAAGACTTACATGAACTGATACAAAATGAAGTGAGCAGAACCAGAAGATCATTGTACACAGTAACAGCAATATTGTACAGTGATCAACTATGAATGACTTGGCTATTCTGATCAATACAATGATCTAAGATAATTCTGAAAGACTTATAATGAAAAATGCTATATACCTTCAGAGAAAGAACTGATGGAATCTAAATGCGACATACTTTTTTGCTTTCTTTTTCTTTTTTTTTTGTTTGTATTTTCTTTTGCAACATGGCTAGTATGGAAATAATATTTTGTGTGACTTCACATGTATAATTGTATCAAATTTCTTGCGTTTTCAAGGAGGGGAGAGCAAGGAAGGGAAGGAGAGGTTTGGAACTCAAAATTGGAAAAAATAAGAATGGTAAAAATTTTTTTAATATGTAATTGAGAATTATTTAATGAAATAAAAATATGGGAAATTTAATTTTTTAATAAAAAAAATATATCATCTGCCTCATTCTGTACCTCTAGTATATTACCTCTCTGCCAAAGGGAGAGAAGCATAATTCTTCTTCAGTCTTTTGGAATAATGATTGGTCATTGCATTTATCATAGATTTTAACTTTGGCAGTTGTTTTCCTGTGTATCGTTTTAATCATTATGTAATTTTTTCTCCTGGTTTTGCTCATTTCATTCTTTATTAGTTGATGCAGTTTCTCTTAGTTTCTCTGAGTTTGTCCCTTTTGTCATTTATTATGGTACAATAATATTATCTTACATTCTTATAGCATAATTTGTTTAGTTTAATAGATGGACATTCCTTTAGTTTCTAGTTTTTAAAAAAATTTTTTTACAATTTAAAAATTTACTATAAATATTTTTGTGCATTTCGGTCCTTTTCCTCTTTCTTGGATTTCTTTGGCCATAAATCTAGTAATATCAATTGGTCAGTGGGTATATACTCTTAGTGAGTTTTTGGGTATATTTCAAAATTGCCTTCTAGAATGGTTGAACCACTTCACAGCTCTACCACAATTGTATTAGTGTGGTTATCCTCCCATTGCCTCTGCAACAACATTCATTTTCCTTTCTTTAACATCTTTGCTCATCTGATAGGTGTGGAGTAAAACCTTAGAACTGTTTTTATTTGTTTTCTCTTGATGCAGATCTATTGATTTGCATCTTTTTTTTCTTCTAGGCTTTTTTTTTTGGGTGAGGCAGTTGGTATTAAGTGACTTGCCCAGGGTCACATAGCTAGTAAGTGACAAGTGTCTGAGGCACTCAGGTCCTCCTGACTCCAAGACCACAGCTTTAGCCACTGCGCCACCTAGCTGACCCTAGAATGTATGTATGCATGCATGCATGCATGCATGTATGTATGTATGTATGTATGTATGTATGTATTTGTTTGTTTGTTTTGCTTTTTGGTGAGGCAGTCGAGGTTAAGTGACTTGCTCAGTCACACAGCTAGTAAGTGTTATGTGTCTGAGGCTAGATTGAACTCAGGTCCTCCTGACTCCAAGGCTGGAGCTCTCCACTGCGCCACCTAGCTGCCCCTCTTATAGTTTTTAATTATTTGCCTTTCTTCTTTTGGAAATTACTTGTTCGTATCGTTTGACCATTTATCTGTTATGGAATGGCACTTGTTCACTCAACGTTTAAATCATTCCCCATATGTCTTGAATATAAGACTTTTATTATAGATATTTGCTGCAAATATTTTTCCCATTTAAATGTTTCTCTCCTAATTCTAATTGCATTGATTTTGTTTCTGCAACATTTTTTCAGGGTTTTCTAATCAAATTTATGCATTTTATTCCCTATAAAAGAATACTTCCCTTTTCCACACTGTAAAAGATACCTTATTTCCTGATTTCTAACTTTGTTTTAATATGACTTTTTATTTTTAGGTCATGTGTTCATTTAGAACTTATCATGGTGTATGGTTTTACATATATCTAAATATCTGCCAGACTGTCTTTCAGATTTCCTCTCGGTTTTTATCAGATACCTTATCCTTAACTGAGTAGTTGTAGTCCTTGGATTTGTCAGCACTCTGCTATTATGGTTGATTGATTCTGGGTTGTGTATACCTACTCTGTTAAACTTTTTAAAAAGTATTTTTATAATGAACTTGACAAAACCAGAAATTGTCATTTGCAACTATGTAATAGTAAAAGAAGGAAACATGAAACTGCAATTTTTTATTATTATTATATATATAACTTATGCATGTAGGGATAACATGGTCAGACCTATGCTTTAGGAAAGTCACTTGGCCAGTTGAGTGGAGGATGGATTGTAATAGAGAAAGATTTGAAGTATGGAGACCTATTAGAAGACTATTACAATAGTCCAGGTGTGACATGGTAAGACCCTGAATTAGGGTAGTGGCTGTATGAGTAGACAGAAGGGGAACATATATGAGAGATGTTAAGTGTAGACACAACAAGACTTGGCAGTTTATTGGGGTGAGTGTGAGTGAAGAGTTGAAGGTGACACTGAGCCTCATGACTAAGATTAATGGTGCCCATCACAGTAATAAAGAAGTTTGGAAGAGGGAGGGTTTAGGAGGAAAAATAAACAATGAGTTCTTTGTTTAACATATCATATTTGAGATGAATGAAGAGCGTATTTGGCATGAGATTGGAACTCTGGAGAGAGATTAGGGCTGGATATGTAGATGTCCAAGTGTTCTTAATGGAGAAGATATTTGAACAGGCAAGCTGATGAAATCAGCAAGTGAAATGGTTTAGAGTGAACAGAAAAGAGTGCTTAGAACAGAGCCTGGGAAAGGGGTAGGTAGAGGGGACACTCATAATTTAGTGGATGTGACCAGGATTGAAGAATGTAGCAAAGGGGACGAAAAAGAGTGGAAGAGGAACACCAGGAAAGAATAGTATTTTGAAAACTTGGAGAGCAGATGGTATCCAGAAGGAGAAAGTGTATATCCCCACAGCTTAGCACAGTGCCTGGCATATAATAGAAACTTATTACATGTTTATTGACCATGTCAAATACTGCAGAGAAGATGATCAAGATTGTGAAAA